TAGGTAGGCTATGTTCATACCGCTTTATTTCTGTGTGACTAATTTTCAATCCTGATAAATTAATTCATTATGATCAATGTATCACTTATTATTGTAAAACATCGATGCTTTTGGATTTAAATCTTTAACAAAGCATGCAAACAAACGGCCGCTTTTATTATGTTCGTTTTGTGATCGCACTAGTTCCAGTGACTTATTTTTTGAGAGGCGTGTAAAGGGCGGGTTTTAGTGAAGCGCAGCGGAGCTTCTGGCCCGACGGTGGAAGCTCAGCGTGATTTTGGCCTCGGTGCTACAGGTCCGAGGCTATTAGCCCCACCCGGCCCGTTTAAAGCACTGGCTCGCACTGGCCCGACAGTGGAAAAGCAGCTAATGATTGTTTTAATTTTTGGGTAAACAATGCCTTTAATTTCCTGCATTTACAGAATTATTAGTCAATTATGGCTGAAAAACAATAGAGTCCAGAGCAGATTTCAAATCGCATACTTTGTGACAATCAAGCAACTGCCATTTAAATAAACAGGAATACTACCCAAAACAGAAGTTAATACTAGGCTTGTCATGATCATGAATTTTGTGCTGACAATTAATTGTCATACATATAATTGGGATCAACAACTTAATTGTTTTGTATGTGTCACTTATATTGTAAGCCTAATATGTAATATGCCTTTTTTTACTTGCAATTGTATATAAAATAAATAATTTGCTGTGAAAATGAATAAGATTAACAAGATTACCTTTTCCTCTTCCAGCTGTTTGGTCAGTGCATTGTGTTCCTCCTTCAGATTTTCGTATGTTTCTTTCTCAGTCTTCCTACTCCCCTCCAATGAGCTGATTTCTGCCTTCAACTCTTGTACCCGTCTCAGACCCTCCTCCTGTGTCCTGGCTGCACACAATCACTCACAATCAATCAAAATAAAACTCACAATATGTGCTTATTCATAATTTGCATTCATGCAGCATTTTAAAGCCAAATCTCATTCACCTCTTTCGTCTTCCAGCACCAAGCATCGTTCGCCCATAAGTGACACACGCTGATCCAGCTCTTCCTCGGTTCTCCTCAAGATCTCCTTCACGCGGGCCAGCTCCTGCTCCTGCAGCCGTACCATGCTCCGGGACTCCTCAAGATCCTGAGCTCCCCGCTGCATCTGTTGCTCCAACTCTTTTAGTGAGGCCTGCGAGGCCTGGAGATCCTGCACATGCTGCTCCATCTCCCTCTCCTTCTCTTCTAGACCCTTCTGGGAGTCCTGCAGCTCCTGCTGAGATCTCTGCAGCTCCTCTTCCTTTACTCTCAGCACCCCCTGACAGTCCTGCAGCTCACTGGTACATTTCTCCAGCTTTTTCTCCACATCACTGCACAACCCGTATAGAGCTGGATGAGGATGTGAGCACTGATACAATAACAACAACAATATGAAAATGCACACAGTTCTAACCTGAGGTTCTCTTGAGCATCAGAGAACCGGCACTCCACGGTGGATTTGTCCTGGAGCTTAATCCGCAAATCCTTTGACATTGGAGAGTGAGACAGACAGCTTATCTCAAACCAAGCAGCACTTCAAAGTCTGATGATTCAACCTAAGCGGTGAGTAAATATCATCTGGCTTAGGAGAGACTAATTCTGTTGACCAAAACCAATACCTGAATCTCGTCATTTGCTGAGTCCAAGTAACTCTGCAGGGCTTTGATTTCCTCTCTCAGCTCCTGGATTATGCCTTCAGTTGAAGACAAAGTGAGATGTAGCCAACTCAAATGACACCATAGAAACAAACACAGATCTTAGCACGCAAGCTTACTGTGCAATTTATCCATTTCATTCTCGAGCTGCTCATTTTGGACTCTTGTCTCCTGATGAAGTTCCTCTGAAAAACAACATTTAGTAATAATAATAAAAAAAAGCTCAGTCACTAATGATATCTGATTTGTAAGCAAATTCTTCTTAATGAGTCATTCAAACAAATACTTAAATGGTTTCTAAACCCCTAGACTAGAGTTTGAACTGTCAAATGTCACTTTGGTTTAAGTTATAAAGTTATAGCGTATCTGATTTTGAATGTAGTACGACTGTATTTTCAAGTAATCACAATGCCTAAATATAAGTTATCTGTTATGGGAGAGTGACTCAGCTCTCAAAATGTGAATTATTGTGGAGTGAGATGACAAGAAGGCTCGATCACTGCAACTCCGAAATCTTTGGAAATCATATTTGAATTCATCAAAACTTCTTGAAAAAAGCGATCCTTTCTTTTATATTTTAAACGGTCCAGATTGATAAATCCTTGAAAACTGCTAGACTTGATTAGTTTTGACTGTGCAAAGTTCTATATTATGTTCTACAATATGAACTTAACAAGAGGCTTCTCTAGTTCCGTGTAAAATTATAGAGCGACACGGAGGTAAGCGCATTATTATTGTTGTTTTTTTGTTTTTAATTGTCGGATTATAATTCAGTATGTATCAATGAATGACACAGTTTTGACTGTCATGGTGTGCGCATGAACGAGTGTGAAATAGCCTACCTGCTTATTACGTTGTTTTTTACTATCACTTATATTGGGCACTTTTTGCATTTAAATTGGATTATTCTGACTGCTGACATTGAAAATGATGCATGTGTTGTTTCGAGGGTATCGGTTACTTTCTTGATTTGATCCGTTTACCTGGGAAATTTATCTAACGTTATATTTATATTATTTTGTCGTCAGTTAAAAATGGCCCTTATGAACCTTGATTTACATATCAAGGCCTGGTCCTCTCTCCTCTTTCACTGTCGTAACTCCTCCTTTTATCCTTCCGGAGCTCCTCCGTGGGACTCGAGACCGGTGAGTGGCACAGGTGTCGTGCATTCGCATTTACTCCACCGGCCTCGCTCCGTTCCCACGGCTCTCGGCCCCGCCCCTCTTGTCACAAACAGTATTTATTTAAAATAGAAATCTTTTGTAACATTATGTCTTCACTGTCACTTTTGATTAATTAAACATGCATTTTCTGAATAGATTTAGATAAATAAATAAACACTTTTGAACAGTGTAACTTCATCACCTGCTTTCTACTCTTTCCCAGCCTCTTCTGTCAACCTCTTGACTGATAAAGATTTTTCAGACAAGACTTAAAGCTTTTGTGTATCAGACAAATCTGATATTTTCTGATGTGATCTGGTAATGAGACTGGATCCAATATTCCTGGCTTTTTTTTTTTTGTCATTGATACGATCAAACATCAGCAAAAGAATCCTGAAATACCACAAGGTCATCCGGGAATACTGAAGCATTTGTTAAGCTGCCTGAATTAAACAATTCACTAAAATTCAACTGGGTTAACTCTTTAAAGTTTACATTTTTACATACAATTTGATTGATTTCCAAGATAACTAGATACCACTCACTGAATTAAGAAACGCAGTGTAATGACGTCATGTGAAAATACTGCTGGAAACACTTACTGTGTGAAATTCTGTTTCACTTTACTTTTACAGTATATTCTGTGCACTTTTCAGCAAGTATTATATTTCGTTGTGAACATGTTCTGACTTGAACTTAGAGACACTGGACGCTTGTCAGATTGATTTTATAAAATGGAAAAGATCCCAAAATATACAATATCAAACATATAGCTCCTCAAGGTAACTCACCAAGATCTTTGTTCCTTTCCTGAAGAACTCTAAAAGTTGTCCTGGCAGTCTCCAGATCCGTTTCCAAGACCTTTACTTTCCCCTCTGAGCTGATCTGAAGGAAGCTCAGCTCCTGTTCACAAGCCCAAAATTACACTGAGCAACTTGAAGTTACACAAACTCCTCTCCCCGTCTAAAGCAACTGAGGTAACTTACCTTGTCTTTGGCATCCAGTTTATTTTTGGCCTCTATGAGCTCCATGGAAAGAGCATTGATCTTCTTCTTGGTGATGTCTGCAGAGACCTGAGAAAATCAAAGTGCCAAGACATTCCTCAGTAAACTTGTTTATGTGAAGCAGTCTACTTCGGAAACAGAGATTGGAAAACACACTGGTACAAAAAGACTAGTCACCTTGGTCTTCAGGAACTCATTAGCTTTCTTTAACTCTGCGAGCTGCCTCTCAAGAGAAGCCACATTGGCAGCGAGGCCTGTCTTCTCTCTGACAGCCACAAGCAATTTAGACTCCAACTTTTTCAGCTCTTCTTCCAGGGTCAGCAGCCTGCGGTCCTGCTCTCCTCTCTGCTGCACCAAAGAACGGATCTATACTCCAGCATTATCAGTGACAGTCAAGGTTAAGAGAAGAGACCATAGAAACCGATCAGGCCTCAAAGCAACAAATGGCCATCAAGGAAATGTTCAAAACATTTTGAAATCTACCTCTTTCTCTAGTAGTCTCTGATGTTTCATCTCAAGTGTGAAACTATTTTTGTCCTTCTTGGAACTAAATGCATCAGCCTATATATGGAAAAAACAACAACAAAAGAAAATTGTAAAACAGTGTGGCAAATACTAATGATTGGCCAATATACTGAACCGACAAATAGTAATACTGACAAATAGTCAACAAATAATATCTGTTTTTAGACACTTTGGTAAATTCCGAAAAAGCGAAAAGAGGCTACTTGCTCACCCAAATCAACATTTTATAAGATATTTGAAAGGTCTTAAAAAACATGCTTATTAAATAAAACATCTAACACTTGCGTTTGGTTTGTTTAAAATGGATACGGCATAATGTAGGGGTTTGTCTTGTGAAAATAACTAACTGATCATTCAATAACCTGCAATACTACTCACATAATTATATTACTGATATAAATATATTATTATTATTATTATATAATTACCTCTATATTATCTTAAGAATCCTAAGAATTAGTCTAGCAATAAGACACTGGAACAATATTTGAAAGAAAAAGCAATTTTAAAAAGGGATACTTCAGCCAAAAATGTTTAAAAATCTGCTTTAATTTATTCAACCATGACGTTTCAAACCTGTATGGACTTACTTTCTTTTGTGGAAGTCAAAAGATATTTTGAGACATGTCTTAATATTTTTGGCCAAGAGGGTGCATGTTGTTTCTCTAATTTCCGCAATTTGTGTGTACATCTCTTAATTAAGTAACTGCTCAAACAGCAACATTACAGACTAACTAAAGTTGAAAAAGTGAAAAAGCATAATAGCACCCCCTTAACGCTACGATCGCACCGGTGTGATTAGAACTTTCAGTGCGTCACGTCATCAACTGCGGCATTTAAATCTGCTTTCGCCGCTTTGGCTGGCTCGAGCCAGATCGGACGCGCTGAGCGCTTGTCATATTATCACAACTATTCAGTGTTTTCAACCA